ATGTCCTCTTCTCAACAAATGATGAAGCTCCAACTTATTTAGAATCTGGGAATAGGAAACGAACTTTTATGAAGCTAATAGGATTTGTCTTCCTCATGCCCCCAAATACAATCAAATTAGTTTTGCCTACATATCAAAGACTCTTCTTCATCTTTCAGGCCATTATCATCTTAAATGACGGACTCCTTCAAGAGCCTCCTAAGTGGATTTTCTCCTTCCACTCTTATCATCCTCAACTCACTCTCTATAAAGTAGGTACTTTCAAAAACCCAAATGTGATAGACCTATGTTCCTTTTTTCCATAGCTCCCCGCTAACCACATAAATTAATGCCAGATCTAATGCTGCCTGAAAAACCCTACAGCCTCTTATACTGCGGCTTTCCACACAAGCACCCAGCCCCTTGCACACACACACACACACACACACACACACACACATTGTGCTTCAACAATATCAAACTATTTGTAAATTTTGTACAGTATGCTGTTCCACATTTTTGTCATTACATATACTGTTACCTCTGTTTGAAATGCCTTCATCCTCCCCAGTCTTCACTTTATTTTTCAGAAAAACTCCAATTTATATGTTTTCATACATAATAGATTGACTTGGCATCTTTTCTTTTTCTTTCAGATTTTTGCCATAGGATGTGTGTACTTGCCAGAGAGATAGTGAGAGACACAGAGAGGGAAAGCAGGAACTCACTCCCTAGGGGGAATGCCCACACCACAATCCCTTCTCTTCCATTCTCCTCTTGGTATTTGGGGCATGCATGCATATGCTCCCAGCATGATTTTCAAGCCACCGAGTCCAGGACTCAAACCATGGTTGACTATGTGGAAGTCCAGTGCCTTAACCACCATGGCACCTTCTGGTCTCTGAGCATTGCCTTTTGTGAAGCCTTCTTTTAACCTCTTCTCCCACCCAGATCACCTCCCAAAGTTAATAAGTTCTTGCTTCTTGCTACCTCTCTACCTTTATGTGTGATTCTATTATAGCATTTATTACACTGTATCGAAACACAATTATATCTATCTCTGCCTTCTCTACTGTTCTTGGATTCCTCAAAGGTAGAAACCAAAAAATCCTAGCACTCAGCACACAGTTTTCTGTTAAGTATCTAAACTAATGTAATATAGTGATCTCACAAATACACCCATAGTTTGCTGTAATATTGAACTTTGTATTATGGTACAAGTGAATACCAAGTTCTACACTGGTGGACAAAGTTAAACTCCTAAAATTGCTCAGTAATTTTAGGCTAAAAAAGACCCAGATCTAAGAACAAAGACTTAGAATAGAAGAGGAAGAAATCTGAACCTATACATTCTTACCATAGTTTTAGCTTTGGTCTTGAAAAACTAAATTATTCAACTTATTCATAAAATATTTACCAAACATGGGTGTAGGAACTAAAGTTATTCAAAAGGGATATTTTGCAGCCATAATGAGATAACGTAAGTGTTCTACTCTATGGAATTATAGGATTATTAATATGTATACAGGGCCTCTTTGTTTAGAATTATTCTATGTTATACACAATGATAACTTTATAATTGGAATAATAGTTTACACTTATTAAGTTTTCATTATACACTAATAACTAAACATTTTATTTATTTATTCAACAAATATTAACTGAGGTCTAATATGTTATAGACACTGTTCTAAGTGCCAGGGATTCAACAGTAAACAAAGCACACAAAAAGCCCTGCTCTCAGGGTCAGCAGATGCGATAGTGGTTGGGGCGTTGGACTCCTATAGGGCCAACCATGGTTTGAGACCCAGACCTAGCAGCTTGAAACTCTCACTAGGCATGTGTGTGTGCATGCTCAAAATCCCAAGAGGAGAATGGAAGAGAAGGAATTGAGGCATGGCCATCTCCCCTGGAGGTGGTGGTATGATATCTCACTTTCTATCTCTCTGTTTCTCTGTTGAGTGCACACAAAAATCTCCATAAATAATTAAATAAATAAATAAATCCCTGCTCTCTCTGAGTTTACATTTTTATAGGGAAAACATAATAAATAAGCAAACAAATGAGACACAGAATTCCAGATTATGATAGGTACTATGGAGAAATGTAAACCATAGAATGAATATAGGAAGTACTAGATGTGTGGAAGATGGGATGGTGTTGACAAATTAGCACTGCTGTCCCCTTACTGATGGGACAGTTACCAAGAATGAGAAGGAGAGAGGGGGGAGTCAAGAATGGATCCAGGGTGTTCAACCTGAGCAAGTGAATACATAGAACTGCCATTTATTGAGATAGAAGACTTTGGAAGAGGCAGCTTTTTTGGGGGGTGGGGTGGGAAGGAGAAATCATGGGTTTAATTTTTTGTTTGTTATTGCCAGAGAGCACAGTGTTTATCAGACAGAGAGAGAAAGAATCCTCCAGTGGGGCATGGTCACCCACAATCCTTTTCTCTTCACTTTTCAACCCACCAGGATTTTGGACACACATGCATATGCACCCAGCATATTTTTCAAGCCTCCCAGGCCAGGATTTGAACTGCAGTCAACCTTGTGGAGTCCAGTTCTACATGCATAGCGGTTAATCACTATGTTACTGGGGCAGCCCATGGGTTTAGTTTTGATTATGTTCATTTGAGATGCCTACCCTAAATCCACCTAGAAATGTAAAGAAGCTACTTAAGGAGAGAGAGATCCAAGCTGAAGTTACACACAAATCTGAGAGTAGCCCCCATACAGATGACATTCACAGTCATGAACCCAGAGGAAATCAGCAAGGAATATAAATACAGAGAGAACAAAGGACTAAGCTCTATGGGTTAAAATTTCCCCCACTCCCATGCTAAGCCTTTGCTCTTAGCCCTGGGTACCTTTGAGACCCACTTCAACATTTACAGATTGGAGAGATGATGAGAAAATGAAGAGGGGCAATGAAGGAGAAGAAAAGCCAGAATAGCAGGGTATTTTGCAAGGTGAATGAAAAGTGTTTTGAGAAAGAGAAAACGATAAACTGTGTTGAATAGCACTGATGGGCAAATAAAAAGAAAATGAAGAATTGGTCATTGCATTTAACTATATGGACGCAAGACAAATATGCTAGCACCAATAGTGTTGACTCATTTAGACTCCCGACAACTCTGCTATGGTAAGTACTACCATTATTCTTCAGAGATGAAAACTGAGGCTCAGGAAGATTAAGTAACTTGCCCAAGGTCACACAGTCAGGGAATGGCAGAGTTGGTATTTGAACCCAGGAAAGGTCATTCTAGAGAGCACTCTGCCTGGGAAAATAGGAAAAATAGGAGAGAGACATTTCATGAGAAATTGGCTTGATGGCAGAGAAGATCCTAAAATGGTGCTTTTAATCTATGATGATGCCCACATTCTATTTCTGTTTCTGCTCCTTGCCATAATCTGCTGTAGATCTTTTTGTTCCAAGACAGAAAAAAAGGTATTAACTTTGAAATTCCATTTCTATGGAGACTTTTCTGGATGCTTGTTTAGTAACATAGGACTGGCCTGGCTAGATCCACTGGGTAGATCCCAATGACTGACAGCAGCGATGTAAATGCATTCCCTAATATGAGCCATCGAGGTTACAGAACAACTCTGTCTTGCAGACATGAACTACATTTTTTTTTTTGCCCTGGACAGATATCTTGCATGCAGATTCAATGTGGTAGTTCATCTCCTGGAAAAAATAATGATGTGTTCAATCGCCAAAGTAGCAGCAGTACCTCCTTCACGTTCAAAAAGACATGCTATTTTCTTCTTTAGTGCTGAAGAGAGGGATAGATCACTGTGCCCACATCTTCACAAATTGACAGTGTCCTCAATGGCTCAGATTTGTAAACTAATATGTATGTTTTGAAGAGTAAAGAGCTGATCTTTACAAAAAATGAGATAGACTATATTCTGGGACCAAACTTCAATAAAGAATTAGCAAGAATCAGATCTCACTATTCAGGAATATCTTTGAATACTTCCAGAAAAGGAAATTTTAACTGAGTGTTTAATTTTGGTAATCAACTCTATCAGTTGAGGGAGTATTCCATAGTTAGTAATATGAAAAATAAAAGGCTTTGGATAGCTGATTGTTAAAGACTTCCAGGAATCCATCATGATTTAAACTTCCTTTTTTGGGGGAGAGGTTTTTGCTATAGGGCGCGTGCGCTTGTCAGACAGACAGAGACATAGAGACAGAAAGTGAGAAATCACCCCCCAGGGGGGATGGCCACGCTGCAATCCCTTCTCCTCCATTCTCCTCTCGGGATCTTGGGCACGCACGCACATGCACCCGGCGTGAGTTTTAAGCCACCGGGTCTGGGACGCAAACCGCGGTCAACTACGTGGGAGTCCAGCGACATAGCCATTATGCTAACTACTGGTTCCCATGATTTAAACTTCCAAGACCACACTCAGTAAATGCATTCCTCAGCTAACCATGCCCTAATGCCTGCCTTGTTTGTTCAGTCTAGTGGCCAAACTCAGTTCTGTTCATGTGGGTTTACTATATCTATATTTTTGGAGGTAATGAGAATTTAATAATAATAATAATATATCATTGCATTCAGTCACTTTTAAATTTCATTATACACATTGACTCACTAACTTAGATAAAGAGTTTTAATCAAACATGGCAATCTTTGTTAAGCCTAGTAATATCTGAGATGATGATCAGTAACCTGAAATCCTCACATAACTATGCACAGTTATGTGTCACTAAACGACAGGGATACCTGCTGAGAAATGCACCATTAGGCAATTTCATTGTTGTATGACTATCACAGAGTGCACTTACACAAACCTACATGGTTTAGCCCATTCCATGCCTGAGCTATTGGACACATTCTATTGCTCCTAGGCTACAAACCTGTATAGCATGTTACTTCGTTGAATACTATAAGCAATTATAACACAATGGCAAGTATGGGTGTATTTAAACATATCTAAACATAGGAAAGGTATAGTAAAAATACAATATGAAAGATAAAGATAGTACACCCGTATAGGTATACTTACCATGAATGGAGCTTGCGAGAGTAGAAGTTGCTCTGGGTAAATCAATGAGTGAGTGGTGAATGAATGTGAAGGCCAAAGACGTTACCATATATTGTTGTAGGCTTTATAAACACTGTTCACTCAGGCTGCACTAAATTTATAAAAAATATTTTTCTTTCTTCAATAATAAATGAGCCTTAGCTTACTGTATGCAACAATATTTTCCTTCTTTATATCCTTATTCTATAAGCTTTTTTCTATTTTTGAAATTGAATTTATATATGTGTGTGTGTATATATATATACATATATATATATATTTAATTTACATACTTTTACTTGTTTGTTTGTTTTAGATTTTTACCATAAGACATACACTTGCTGAAGAGAGACAAAGTGAAAAATCAACCCCTGGGGGGATAGCCATGCTAGTTTCTTCTTCTCCATTCACCTCCTGGGATTTTGGGTACATGCACACACACACACCCGGTGTGATTTTCAAGCCTCCAAATCCAGGACTCGAAACATGGCCAGCAATATGGAATTCCAATGTTTTAGCCATCACACCACCTGCTTACCCCCCACGTTCATATTTTTAAAACTTTTTTACTCATTTGTAACATCACCTAGTTTAAAACACAAACACATTACACAGCTGAGCAACAGTATTTTCCTTCTTTATATCCTTATTCTATAAGCTTTCTTCTATTTTTGAAATTAATTTTTTCCTTTTAAAGTTGTTTTGTTTTGTTTTTCTTTTTTTCAATTAAAAGCTAAGACGCAAACACATACATTACCCGAGGCCTACGCTGGGTCAGTCTCATCAACATCACTGTCTTCCACCTGCACATCTTGTCCCACTGTAAGGGCTACAATGAGCAATACAACACAAGATAAAGGCAAGCCAAAAGAAAACGAGGCAATCAAGAGATGTGGTAAACATGAGAGGTATGCAGTTGCTGCAGATATAACACGGCATAGTGCTTTACAGTAAACTTGTTTTTAGATAAGGAGTACATTCTAAAATAATGATAAAGAGTATAGTAAATACATAAACAGTAAATAACCCTTCATTACCCTTATCAGTACTATGTACTGCTTATAACTGTATGGGCTGTACTTTTAGATGACTATCAGTGCAGTGGGCTTGTTTACACCATCATCACCGGGAACACTGGGTAATGTGTTGCGCCATGACATCACAATGTCTATCCCTTCACTAGGAAATACCAAGTTTTGAGCTCCATTATCCCATTTAATGAGATCCCCATTGTATATGTGGGCCATCCTTGATGGAAGTGTTGTGATGCATGACTGTAATTAGAAAGTATCCCTAGCTCTTTTCTCAACTCTTTTAAATCCCAAATTTCCCACAATTCTGCAGTTAAAATAACTATTTGTTTATTTTTGTTACAAAAAAACAAGACTCCTTCCCATTTGTGGGTCACACTATTTGTGGTATTCAATTCTCCCTTCACTCCAGGTCATATCTAAGGCTTGCCTCAATGTCACCATCTATGATAGATGATGACTAGCGACAGACGACAATGTGAATTCAGGCATTAGAGCTGCTATGTAGTCATAGAAAAATGCATTAGTGAAAGATTGTTTTAGTAACTGGCTATCCTTCACTAGCATCAATCCTAATATTCAGAAATTTTGTTTTAAGCCCTCAAAATATATCTTAATTTCTAAGGCTCTTCTCAACCCTGACCCAGTATCACACTGCCATTTTGCCCTACCCAAATAGCTCTTACTGGGTAATTCTCCTTACTGTCCCACTAGGCCAAGTAACTGATTGATAGGAAAAAGAAAAAACTAAATTATCATTACAAAATTCTTATAAATACTCAGTTTTTCCTTATTTCTTTTTAACTGTAATGGGTAGGAGTGGGACCAAAAACATGATCCCAATGATGTAGCAACCACTTAATATTTCCCGACAAATCCAAGGCCACTTCTTATAAAATGGAAAGACAATCTGGCCCACAAAAGAAGGATTCTAATCAGAAGATTGTGAACTTAATAGACTAAGTTTCCCACCAACTAGTAGAAAGGCTCATTACAGCTTATGGAATATTTCAAAATGATGTCTTTTGCCCCCTGTCTTGGTCCTTTGTAGCCCCTGAATCTAATGAGCAAACAGACAGGATAGTTTGAAGTCTGTCCACGGCTGGCAGATAATAGCCACATCAACCACGACAAAGGTTGATTCCCCTACCAACCTCCCCAGCAAGTACATGGATGATAATGGGAGTTTTTGTGCAGCACAGAAGCTTATACATAATCCTATTACTATCCTAGGCACCTATTAAATATGATTGAAACAACGCCCATTGGAAGTCTTAAAACCTTAACCACCAGTTTTACTTCTAAAATAAAGTAAACTGCCAAAAGTTCTGATAAAAGTGACAATTTATATTTTTAAGTAGTACAACTGGAATTTTCCTATAGCTGTAGACAAAGGAATTCTTACCCAGATAAGTAGAAGAGCACCAATAAATTTAAGGTAGCTTATGCAAGTTAGGCACTAATGAATGTCATCTTCTGTTTTGTCATGAAAAAAGATCTTTCTGCTGCTAAAGGAGACTGATTTAGATTATGAATAGCTGTAGTGATTTGCAAAAATGGCTCCAGAGAGATAGAATGAGACTCCATATACTCATGGCACTTGAGGTTTCTGCCCTTTTTGTTGAAAATTAATTTGTCCTGTGGGTTATTGGATTCTAGCTCAGCCAATGTATATTGCTCAGTCATCACAAATTTACTTAAAATTTAGTGTAGCTGAAGTTCATTCAACAAGACAAAAGTCTACAGTTGAAAGCTTCTAAAAATCTTTTTAAAAAACTGGCTAACAGTGTAATTGAAAGTGCTGGCGTCTAAGTAGATTCACATAATGTTTTGCAGGTATCAATATATACTATATTACTATGTTAGAAATAGATTTTTCACTTATTTTCCAAGAAAAAGCAGATGAAGATTTATCATTCTTTGGTAAGAGGACATTTTGGTTGAAGTTTCCTCATTCTGAAAAACGTATAAATCCCTAAATTCAGACTAGATTCTGTAATCCATACCACATAGTTCATTCATTCACATAGTTTATATTTTAGCATTTAAAAAACAATTTTTTAAACCAAATAGATTATACAACTCCTAACTCTTCCAAATCCGAAACACACTATGCTTGAAAAAAAAATTAAGAATTTAAGAATACACACAATCTGTCTCCCTGTTTCATCAGCTCATACAGGGCAACTCACCTCCTACCCTAGGAAGCTACAGCTTGGAGGCTTATATTATAGACTGGGAGGGCCAGAGTAGAGTCACATTTCAGACGGAGGATCAGAATACAAATCACTTGCTTTTGACAAAAAGAGCACTAGTTTAGTGGCCATGCTCCTTTACCCAACAATAATAAGAAGGAAAGAAAAGGGAGTATTCTTCAAAAGAGGCTATTGTGAGAAGACACAAAGGTGACATTAAAAAAAGGAAGGAACAGCTAATTGTGGGAAACTGAGTAGTTTTTAATGAATCCTTCCTTTCAAGTGCTTTTCCTTAATATACTCCTATATACCTCATTTTTACACATTTACATATGTATTCTAGTATATTAAACGCATCTAAATGTGTACGTGATCGTCTTCTTCCTCTTGAAAATCTAGCTGAACCTTAAAACTTATTTACTATCTAAAATCACACCAGAAAACCTCCATTGTGATCAAGGCCATTGAAATAGCTCCTAATTAAATTAACGATACACAGGAGGCAATGAACATTATTTGTTCATTTCATTTACAGACTAAAGATGACTAGATAATAAGACTGTTTTCCATTGAAATACTCTATCACAGAGTAATTAAGAGCTAAATCTAGATGGTAAAAACATGAAGATGTGTCATCTCAGTAAGAAAGCAAATGCTATATGGGGCAACCTATAGTTTGGGACTTTTTTTTTTTTTTGGATAGCGGCTTTTGTTTTAATTCATGAACCGAGACAACAACTGAACTACACAACTGATAAAGTTCAAACCCCGAAGAGATCAGCTCTTCGCTTGAGGTACAATTGCAGGAAATGAGATACGGAGTGCTAACCAAATCGTGACACAATGGTGTGGAAATTTCAGATTAATAAACCTCTTCCAGTGGAGAACTAAATAACTTTTACAGTTTTATCTATGGTTATTTGTTTCTCCGAAGATTTATGGTCCTCGCAACAGATATGCATCTTATCTTTCACCTTCCAGATTAAAGAGAGATGATTTTAAACAGCCTCCTGACTGGCATAATCTGGAATTGCAGATGATCTCAATTTAAAAAAAAAAAAATGCTAGAAGTGAACTTGCAAGTCAAATGAAAATGACTTTGCGCATGTCAGGTGCACCTGGGGGGGCAGGGAATCTGCATACAGCTAAACAGGCTGACCTTCTCTTACCAATCCTGATCCCCTTGCCCTGAATCAACCAGGTGCAATCTGTACATGCTTAACCAGGAATTAAAACTATGCTGCTGCTGCTTTAATTGATTGATGCTAAAAGTTTAGAAAATACAACCTAACCAGCTATTACAAAGCGCCTTTAACCAAGCCTTCTCCTTTGAAAGCAGGATGCTCAATTGAAACTGGCAGACCACATTTTTAGGTTTCAAGCAGCTCTGTCATTCTACAAGGAATGTGTCTGCCACTTCACACGATAGCCTGAGCTGAAAGACATGTACTTTGAATCAGAGAATCAATAGAACACTTAATGGACAATTAGGAGAACAGCTGTAGGACTGTCAGAGACCCATCTGTACACAGCTCAAACAGCAAGCCTGGACAGGGCCCGGCAAACAAAGTACACTGCTCCAGGGCACTGGCCCCAGTACAAAACCTCCCTTTCAGTTCTCATTTAATGTTAATATAGTGTTCTTTTTCATTACAAATTTTAACACGTGTAGAAAATTATGGAAATTGCTTAAGCCATTTGTCAACTTATATCATGTGAATTGATCAATAAATTTCACTACTTTGTTGTTAATGTAGATAAATTTTGGCATTTAATTAAGCTCCAGTGAAAATGTGGCCACTTTTAATTTCAGCAGATGCTGTC